TGCACCACTGCACTTCAACCTTGGTCACAGGAGTGAGACCCTGTCTCAACCAAAAAAAAAAAAAAAAAGAAAATCTGGCATATTAAAGGGACTCGTGTTCCTCAGCGTTCTTATGTGTGGTAGATATTAGTTTTGTTCGTACCTGTGTGTAGTGTTAATGGCTAACCGAGGCTATCATTATTCGGTAGGATGAACAACAGCTCAGAAACTTAACGGTGAAGAGTTTAGACAAGTTTTTGCCCAAATTGTGTTAACTTTTTAACATTATATTCCCTAATGTGAAAAAAACTAACTGACCTGCAAGCTGAGATTGTAATAACCTTGAAATATGCTTTTTTTCTTTTTTTTTGAGACGGAGTTTTGCTCTTTTTTTTTTTGAGACAGAGTCTCGCTCTGTCACCGAGGCTGGAGTACAGTGGCACGATCTTGGCTCACTTCTACCTCCACCTCCTGGGTTCAGGCAATTCTCCTGCCTCAGCCTCCCTAGTAGCTGGGGTTACAACGACCATGCCTGGCTAATTTTTGTATTTTTAGTAGAGATAGAGTTTTGTAATGTTGGCCAGGCTGGTCTGGAACTCCTGACCTCAGGTGATCCACCCGCCTTGGCCTCCCAAAGTTCTGGGATTACAGGCATGAGCCACCGCACCTGGCCGCAATACATATTTTTTCTTTTTAGTCTTGTAATTAGATGCTTGACAAAGAATATTAGTATCAGTGAGGTATAGAGTTGATGCACCTAAAGTGTGCATGTTACCTATGGATGAAATGACAGAATGTTAGAGACTGAGGAGGATCTGATTTACTGAATTTTCTGATCAGCATAAAGTTAAACCAACTTACAAAAATTGTTTTGGTTGCTAATATGACAACTTTTTACATAAATCAGAGTGACCTTTTTGCCTGAATAAATACAGTTTATTAGAAGTCTTTTGCCTCTTTATTTTTGGCTAGTTTTACTATTGGCTAGTTTTACCGGGTTGAAATAAGCAATAATGAAAAGTCTTTGAATTTCTTTAGAGAATTGAATACCTCTATTACAGTGGTCCCAGACCTTTTTGGCACCAAAGACTGGTTTCATGGAAGACAGTTTATCCATGGATGGATGGGGGTATGGAGGATGGTTTTGGGATGAAACTGTTCCCCCTCAGATCATCAAGCATTAGATTCTCAAAAGGCGCGCACAACCTTAATCCCTCACGTGCAGTTCACAGTAGGATGGGTGGTAATGCTTGCCTGCTGCTGCCGCTCACTCCTGCTACGTGGCTGGGTTCCTAACAGGCCACTGACGGGTACCAGTCCGTAGCCCGGGGGTTGGGGACCCCTGCTCTGTTGTCCTCGTTCATTTCAATCGTAACTTAGTTTTTATTTCTGTATTTTAATAATCTTAGTTTTTATTTCTGTATTTTAATCTTAGTTTTTATTTCTGTATTTTAATAATCTTAGTTTTTATTTCTGTATTTTAATAATCTTAGTTTTTATTTCTGTATTTTAATCTCAGGCAATGACCAGAGTGAGACTGGATTTCTTGGATCAGCTAGCAAAATTTTGGGAGCTTCAAGGATCTACTCTGAAGATCCCTGTGGTAGAGAGAAAAATCCTGGATCTCTATGCTTTGAGCAAGGTGAGGCTTATACCGGTTTAGAAATTAGAGCACAGGCTTGTTAATTTAGGAATATCAAATACATTTGGTGGTAAACATTGCTTCCAGTGGAGGATTTGTTTGACAGTGAAATGCACTAGCCGGGCGTGGTGGCGGCGCCTGTATTCCCGGCTACTCGGGAGGCTGAGGCAGGAGAATTGCTTGAACCCGGGAGGCGGAGGTTGTGGTGAGCCAAGATCATGCCATTGCACTCCAGCCTGGGCAACAAGAGCAAAACTCTGTCTCAAAAAGGACAATGAAATGCACATTTGAATAAATGGAAATGAGAGATCTCAAAGTTATCTTTAAAAGTTATTTTATATTTGTTGAGATTAATAGGTAATTACCAAATATTAATATTTATCAGGCTCTGTGATATACAATATGCAAAATAAATTACTCTAGCCTGCTAATATTATCTTGTGCTGAGTGTACAATGTTCTGTGTTGAGCTTGTCATCCTTTTTTGTTACTTAATTGAAAATTTGGCCCAGGCACGGTGGCTCATGCCTGTAATCCCAGCACTTTAGGAGGTTGAGGTGGGAGGATCACTTGAGCCTAGGAGTTAGAGACCAGCCCGGACAACATGCTGAAACCCTATCTCTACTGAAAATACAGAAAAGCTAACTGGGCGTGGGTGCACACCTGTGTCGGAGCCATCAGGAGAGAAGGTGGAGGTCGCAAGCCGGAAAGCAGGGTGCAGTGAGTGTGGTGCACCATGACTGAGACGCCGAGCAAGAAGCCGAGGTCTACGCGCGCGCGAGAGAAAAAAAAAAAAAGAAAATCTGCGCATATTAAACGGGGGCTCGTGTTCCTCAAGCGTTTGTGAGAAGAGCGTAGCGTGTGGTGTAGTGGTTAATGGCTAACCGAATATCATTATTCGTAGAAAGCGCAGGAACAGGTGAGAGAGTTAGACAAGTTTGCCAGATGACAACATTATATTCCCTAATGTGAAAAAAAAGAGAGAGATGACGAGCTGAGATTGTATAAACTTGAAATATGCTTTTTTTGCGTTTTTTTTGAGCGGGGTTTTGCTCTTTTTGTGGTGGCGTGCTGCTCACGAGGTGCCAGACGCACCGCCACGCAAGCTCCGCGCCTGGTTCGCCTAGGCCTGCCTGCCGGCCCGCAGTGAGCTGAACGCGCAGGCCGCCACCTCGCCCGGCTAGTTTTTTTGTAGAGGAAACGGGTTTCCGTGTTAGCCAGGATGGGTCTCGATCTCCTGCTGACCTCGGGTCGCGGCCCGCCATCGGCGTCCCATAAGTGGCTGGGGATTACAGGGCTTTGAGCCACCACGCGCCCGGCTGAAGTTTTGCTGCTTGTTGTCCAGGCTGGAGTGCAGAATGGCTGATCTTGGCTCCTACACCTCGCGCCTCGCTCGGGGTCAGCAATTTCGTTCTAGCCTCCTGATGTTAGCTGGGATTACAGGCGGCTATTTGTATGTTTTTAGTAGAGATGGGGTTTCACTATGTTGGTTGAGGCGTGGTCTGAACTGTTTGGCGGTCGTGATGCCACCTGACTTGCCCAAGACTGACGAGGAGGCATGAGCCACCGCGCCTGAAATATGTTTTGTTTAATACAGTAAATGAGGGTTAACGAGGGAAGGGAAGACAACTTTTTGTGGCCTTTCTTTTCTTTTTTGTTTTTTTTTTTTTTGGAGCGGAGTCCTCTGCTCTTGCGCCCAGGTGGAGGCAGTGGCCGGGACTCAGTCACTGGGAGAGCGGAGCCTCCCCCGGGGTCAACCATTTCCTGCCTCGCATCAAGTAGCTGGGGTAGGCGCCGCCACTGTCGCCGGCAGTTTGGTATTGGTTGGAAGACGGGGCGGTTTACGTGTCTTCGCCAGAGCAGGTCTCCTGACCTCGTGATCCGCCCGTCTCAGCCTCCCAAAGTGCTGGGATTACAGGCTTGAGCCACCGGCCCCGGCCGTGACCTTTCATATCTTATAATTTATATACTATTTTGAAATAAAAATTTATTCTTATTTAAATTGCGGTTACTTTTGGAAGATTTCACTTTTTTTTTTTTTTTTTGAGATGGAGTCACTGCCTAGGCTGGAGTGCAGTGGTGTGATCTGGGCTCACTGAAACCTCCACCTCCCGGGTTCCAGTGATTCTCCTGCTCAGCCTCCCAAATACCTGGGATTACAGGTGCCTACCACCACACCCGGCTAATTTTGTATTTTTAGTAGAGATAGGATTTTTCCATGTTGGTTAGGCTGGACTCGAACTCCCGACCTCAGGTGATCCACCCGCCTCGGCCTTCCAAAGTGCTGGGATTACAGGCATGAGTCACTGTGCCTGGCCAGTAAGATTTCACTTTTAAGGAAAAACGTGAGAATAATTCGTGGTGTGTAGTGGCTAATGCCTATAATCCCAGCACTTTGGGAGGCTGAGGTAGAAGGATTGCTTGAACCTAGGAGTTCGAGACCAGCCTAGGCAACATAGTGAGATTCCATCTCTACAAAAAATTAAAAAATAAATAATCCTGGCATGGTGGTGGACTCCTGTAGTCACAGCTAATCAGGAGGCTGAGGCAGGAGGATTGCTTGAGCCTGGGAGGTCAAGACTACAGTGAGCTGTCATCACACCACTGCATTCCAGCCTGGATGACAGAGCAAGACCCTGTTTCCAAACAAACAGAGTAACCATAGTTAAATTATCTTTTATGATACATTTTAAAATTAGTGTCAGGTCAGAATTCTCTTACAAAAAATTTGGCAAGTATGGTCTTATGCTAAAATACAGCTTGGGACTTTTTTTAATCAGGTAATGATGTTAGTAAGTAAGTACTGTACCAAGAATTGTCTGGTGTAGTTATATGAAAACGTATGATACTAAAAAACAAATTATGCTAAATTTGGGTGGTGGGTTTCTTTTTATAGGGAACTATTACGATAAAAATTCATTTTAATAATTTGCTTTTTCGAAATTTTTGTTCAGTCAGAACTTACCTACTAAGTTTTGCTGTATGATGCTGTTTAAGATTCTGAATGTGTTTGAGTATAGCATGAATAAAATACAAAAAAGTTTCAAAAATTATCTCAGCACTGTGGCTGATGCCTGTAATCCCGGCACTTTGGAAGACTGAGGTGGATGGATCACCTGAGGTCAGGAGTTCGAGACCAGCCTGGCCAACATGGTGAAAACCTGTCTCGGCCGGGCACAGTGGCTCACACCTGTAATCCCAGCAATTTGGGAGGCTCAGGCGGGCGGATCACTTAAGGTTGGGAGTTCGAGACCAGCCTAACCAACATGGAGAAACCCTGTCTCTACTAAAGATACAAAATTAGCCAGACGTGGTAGCGCGTGCCTGTGATCTCAGCTACTTGGGAGGCTGAGGCAGGAGAATCTCTTGAACCCGGGCGGCGGAGGTTGTAATGAGCCGAAATCACGCCATTGCACTCCAGCCTGGGCAACAAGAGCAGCAAAACTCCATCTCAAAAAAAAGCCTGTCTCTACTAAAAATACAAAAAATTAGCCAGGGGTGGTGGTGGGCACCTGTAATTCCAGCTGCTTGGGAGGCTGAGGTAGGAGATCGCTTGAAACCAGGAGGCAGAGGTTGCAGTGAGTTGAGATAGTACCACTGCACTCCAGCCTGGGCAACAGGAGCGAAACTCTGTCTCAAAAAAATTTTTTTCAAAGATTTTTTTTTATCATTAATAACAATATATATGTTGTGGTACTCTTTAGTGAAACTCTTTCTACTTTTTTTTTTTTTCCAAGACAGAGTCTCGCTTTGTTGCCCAGACTGGAATGCAGTGGCACAATCTTGGCTCACTTGCAACCTCCACCTCCCAGGTTCAAGTGATTCTTGTGCCTCAGCCTCCTTAGTAGCTGGGACTGGGATTAAAGGTGTGTGCCACCACACCCGGCTAATTTTTGTATTTTTAGTAAAGATGGAGTTTTTACCATGTTGGCCAAGCTGGTCTTGAACTCCTGACCTCAAATGATCTGCCCACCTTGGCCTCCCAAAGTATAGGGATTATAGGTGTGAGCCACTGTGCCTGGCCAGTATTTATCTCTATTTTCATAAATACCCTAAGGAATTTACTAGAGTAAGTGTTTATTAATAGTATGAGTAGTAATCTATTGAAACTTTCTCTCTCCGTGATTTTCCATTTAAAAGGTAAACCTTAGGTTTAATCTGATGGTAAGCTAAATTGCAATTTTTTTGGAGACGGAGTCTCCCTCTGTCACCCAGGCTAGAGGCGCGATTTCAGCGCTCTGCAACTTCTCGCTTCCTGGGTTCAAGTGATTCTCCTGACTCAGCCTCAGGAGCAGTTGGGACTACAGGCACACGCCACCACACCCGGCTAATATTGTATTTTTAGTAGAGACAGGGTTTCATCATGTTGGCCAAGCTGGTCACAAACTCCTGATCTCAAGTGATCTCCTATCTTGGCCTCCCAAAATGCTGGGATTACAGGTGTGAACCACCGTGCCCGGCCGCATTTTTCTGGTTTTCTAAAGTCGTAGGATTTCAAAATCGGGAAGAGGCTTTTAAAGGTAACCTAATCTGAATACTTAGTTGTTCACAATTCTCCTTACAACATTGGTCATCCAGACTGTTTAACTCCATCTTGAGAAACTAATTTCCTTTTAAGGTTCGTACTACTAATAAAGTACGCTTTGTTTAAATATTCAGAAAACTTGTTGAAAATATGTTGTGATTAAAGGTTAAGTGTGCTTATCTGAGGGTTTATCGGAGTCTTGTCTTTTGTGGGTTTTTTAGAGTCCTCATGGACATCTCTTTCCCCTAACCTGTGAGAATGCTTGCAAAACTGAGATTTAAAGCTAAAAGGCAGACAAACTTTGATTTGTAGTTAGTTTTGTTTATAATACTTTGTTCCCTAAATGTCATTGTGAGATTGCTGCTTCTCACATTAACTTTTTTCTTTTACATTGAGGTATAACTTACAGTGTAATGCACAAATTTTAAGTGTACAGTTCAATAAATCTTCATATATGTATACATCTGTTTTGTAGC